TCCCAGGTGAATGCAACTCAATGGTGGTATGGGAGACCAGAAATTGTGGCTCAAAAGTGAAGGAGACCACTTATCTGTCAAGAAAAACCGGTCGACCGGGGAAAGGTGGTCTCCAAGAAGAAAAGGTGGTATCCCACCCTACTACCACCTTTCTAACAATGAAACTAGGGTCCATGCCAAAAATGAACCCACACCGATGCGAAACGAAGGTTCGGGGGCCAAAACGCGCAGCCGGGGGCCCCGAAAACTGACTATTAAGCATCGAAAGTAGCGTGCGACCACGAAGGTGGTCTCCCGGGACACAGTGTCCCTCTAAGGAGAGGAAACAAGGTGTGTGCCAAAAACCAGAGCAAACGAAGGTAGTTAAGCGGTCTCGAACCGAGGCATACGGCCGACGGCTCCGAAAACCAGAAACTGGTCTCCAAAAGGGAAAAATGGCCTACGACCACAAAACGTAACCTACGGCCACTGAGAGATGGTCTACGAGACCTCTCCCTCCCTTCAGGAAGAGAAAATAGAGAAAATAGGACTTGGCTCGCAAACCGAGGCAAGGCATGAAAAGGTTCCGAAGCCCGAAGGCAAGGTTCTCAGCCGAGACTTTGCAACCTCAGAACGAGCACAATATGCAACATCACCGAGCGCTCAGTTGGTGACGTCTGAATCTTAAGGTCGGTCAAAAATGGGGTGTCTACACAAGTGTTCTTGAAATCTAAGAGGGTTTTTGTTTCGATTTTTCTAAAGAACAAAGTTCTAAAGCAAATCCCAAACCTAGGAACTACAGGCACAGGAATTGAAGGCAAAAATCTGGAAAGAAAAACAGAAAAAAGAGCATGATTTAGAAATCAAGAAAGCTGCCAAGATTCAAGAATAAGGAAGTCATCAATTTGCAGAACGCTAAATAAAGTGTGTGTAAGGCAATGTGCAAAGACCAGAAGCAATACGCACACATTTGAATTCAGGAACAAGTTGTGATGCGATTCACGAAGGTCATAACATGGAGCTAGAGATAGAATAGCAACAAATAATATGACACAAATGGCAGATTTGAAACAAAATAAAAAATGACAGACTAAAACTATAGAAAACGAAATCATAGACTTACCGAATAAGGCTGGAGAGAAGTTCGCCGGAGTCAAACGACAATATTGACTAGCACCCAATGGTAAGGCTCTCGTCGGAAGTAGTACTCAAGTGATCACAGAAAGCTCGAAAGGACGACAATAGCGGTTTGAGGGAAATTTAGTAGACAAAGAAAACTTTGAGGGAGAGTGCGAGAATGCAAGAATGAAAAGTGAAGAGGCATAGAGAAAGTAAGAGTTCTTGTTAAAAATTTGAAAAAGTGGCAAACCATAATGAAATGCCTTGGACGATGTGTCTATCAGGCAGCGTACGCAGACGCGATACAGCCTGATGGCACGTGTCAGGTAAGGTACGACTCAATAAGAGAAGGATGCGTGGCGAAAACAGTTGAGAAAACCGTGTGTGACAGCTCATGTGCAGACAAAACTCTTGGAGTTCTTGATTTAATAAGACAACAACCTCGGCTAGAGGAACAATCTCAGTTAGAGAGCTTGGTTCTTGGTTCTTGGTCATAGGAAAAGTTGGACAGTAAAGTCCCGGGAACGCGAAGCCGAAGAGTAATGATCTCAGCCGTAGAAGGAAAGAGCGAACTTTAACCGACAAGACAATGTAGGTTCCATCACTTCAGATTGTCGAGGTAATTGAACCTAGGGGGCAGTTGTGGGGGCATATTTTGCTAATGACAGCACGTGGCCGAGGTGACGCCGACGTGTCAGCCAGAGTGCCACGTGACTTGGTCATGTGCGAGATGATCTCGACTAGGCCGAGGTTATCTTTGGAGATATCGGAATCCGAAATGAGGGGATAAGGGACAAGAGTCCTAAAATGAGGGAAGACCTCAATCTAGATAAAGATAAAGTTCTTAGGGAGTTTATCTCTATTTAGCTGGAGTCCAAGATGAGCATTAAGCCAAAATTCATTGAAGCTAGGCTTCTATAGGGATTAGGTTAGTGCTGGCTATAAAAGTAAGACATCCTCGTGGGTCTAAGGTATGCTTTTTATGCTCTGTCTAGTGAGTTAAGCATTATTTGTTATCTTTGAAAGATATTGATTACTGACTTGATCATCGGAGTGCCCCCAGGTGGATGAACTACCGCCAGATTCTTATCTTTCTGTGACAGGTTATTCGAGCTTAATCTATTCTGCCGGTGCTCTCTTGCTGAGTTTTCCTATTTGGTTGTGTAGTCAAAAATCAACACTCACAAAAAATGTGTTAAAATTTAACTCTAATCATTTCATCAAATTGATATCAAATGAAGGGAGACTTAAATTTTTCATCAAATTCAGGGAGTTTTATCTTTCATCAAATTTTGTAAATGGCCGTTGAACCAAACGTTTGCCCAAACATCCTCCTAGACAACCGGCCTTTCTTTATTTCCATCCATGACCGAACATCAGCTCAAACAACCAACCTTGTAACAAGATTTGATGAAATTTTTAAATTTACCATTAAAATGCTTGATATCAAATCAATTTTTTTATTTAAATTTAATGAATCATTGGAGATGCTCTTACCGATGACCAATTCATTTCATCACTTCCTTCTATTGACAATCATTTTCAATTGCTAATAATCACCCTCATTTGTAGCAAGTATGTTCAGCCTCCACCTTTTACCAGAAATATATCCGACAACCAGCTATCAACTCTTATTATTCACTTCACTCACTTGTTTTCAAAAATTAATTTTTAAAAATTATTATTTTTTAAAATTATTTTATATTTTTTTTGAAAATGAAATTCACTTGCAAAATGTTGCACAAACAAATTAGGTCACTGCCTCAAACATATTACTCAAGCATTACAACGGTATGATAAAAATAGGAAGTCTTTCAAAATAACCTCAAGTGGTGGGTCTAGTGACTTGAGACCTGAGATTTAGGAGTTTGCTCCTTTTAGATCTTAAATTCAATTTTTCCAACTAACATAAAACCCTTGAAGCCACAAACTACAGAGTTGTTCGGGAGTCTGGTGCACAAAAGCGAGTATTGTATTTACATTCCCAATATTTAGTTGATATTTATTTGTTTAGTATATATTTAAAAGAGTGACTTGTAAATTTGTAAAGCATGATATAATTTCAATTTTTACAGTCATCAAAGGTTAACAAGTGCCCTACAGCACTAGTTAATGTTGGAAAAGTAAGAAAAAAATATATTAAAAAAAGTGTAAAAAGATTAGAAAGTGTTTTAAAATTCATAAAAAAGGTATTGAATTTAGTGTTAAATGTTTCGAAATTAATATATTTTTTGCCTTTTTCTTATGTGCTAAGAGCACTTGTTAGCGAGACTGTTTGTTTTATAATATTCTTTTTTCCTATTGAAATTCCACTAAAATCTCTAAAAGATAATAATTAATTTGGAATTCCCATGTTATTAATAGTGTCGATCAACTATATAATTAATTCAATTAGAGTTATTCTTCATATCTCATCTTTTTTTTAAAAGTTAAGGAGATTTACGTGTAGATCTTAATAGGTAAATTTATTGTCTAATAGATTTTGTGAAAATTAATGATATTTTTCGTTAATCACTATCAAAAAGTCGCATATTTTCAATTTTCAGCGACAGTTTGAAATTTGTCACAGAAAATGTCATTAATTATAAGTTTCAGTGACAGTTTAAAAAAATTGTCACAAAAAAAGTCACTAAATTTTAACTTTCAACAACAGTTTGAAAAATTCATCACAAAAAAAAGTCACTAATTGTAAATTTTAACAACAATTTATAAAAATCGTGACAAAAAAATCACTAATTATCAATTTTTAGCGACATGCAAAAAACGGTCACAAAAAATTATTTTTAGAAACGATTTTATTAAGACTTGTTTTCAATAGGACTTGATGGGAATTAAGTCAAACTATTAGAATTTATTGATAATTTACTAAAAGTTAAGGCCCACCATCGAGTAAGATCTAAAATTTCACTTTTTGCTAATTTTGGTCCGAATCTGATCTCAATTGATTAACATTTGTTTGAGTGAAAAATATTTAATGTATTTTTTGACATTTAGAATAATAGGAATTAAAAGTCAATTGAAAATTATTTTTGTGATTAATAGAAGAAGAAAAAAAACATATAGAGGCAAAAAAAAAATTTTCAATCTTAAAAAATTTTAAACTTAAAAAAAAAAAAAAAAAAAAAAAAAAAAAAAAAACACTAATATCTTACTAACGTAACTATACTACCACCATCACCCTCACCGCTACTACCACACCACTATTGTTGCCCCCCTACTTCTCCCTGCCACCGTCACTACTAATACAACAATAGACACATTAATTTTAAAAATGCAACTAAATATTAAAAAAAATATATTCTCTCACTAAAACAAATGGAGAATGAGAGAGAGAGCCATGTGAGGAATTATTTTTCAGTGAAATTTCACAAGACACTCCATGAGAAAGCCACATAAAACTGAGCTTCAACCAATATAACAGATTTTGATTCAGTCATATTATTGTCTTTTTGTGTTTATTTTGTATCCTGTCCTTATTCTCAAATGGTGGAGTTTTATTATGATCTGGCAAAGGTCATGTCCAATCTGAGAACAAACTTGTATTCCAACTAACTGTACAAGGCTCTGTTTGGTTTCGGTTTTGATTTCAGCTTAAGTAGTTAGTTTTTTGGTTATTGAAGTTAAAAATATTTAGCTATTTGGTTTCAACTGACTTACCTAAATTGGGGGAAAAATAAGTAATTTGATCTTAAAAAAAAAAAATGAGCTCAAGAAGAAAAGAAAGGACAAAAAAGAAAAAAGAAAAAACGAAGAGATAACATGAACAATGGATGGATAAGTAGTTAGTTTTTTGGTTATTGAAGTTAAAAATATTTAGCTATTTGGTTTCAACTGACTTACCTAAATTGGGGGGAAAATAAGTAATTTGATCTTAAAAAAAAAAAAAAAGAAGGAAGAGCAGATAACTTGAACAATGGATGGACAAAAACACCATTCCAAAAACTCAATGAAATCAACTGCATCCCAAGGAATCTTCCCACACAAATGCAATTGAAAAGTGCTCATATTTGATTCCTCACTTTACATAATTTAGTTTCTAACTCATTTCTAACAACTCTAATGGTGAATTGGGCATTCACAACTAAACCCAAAACCACTCTGAGATATAAACAGAGTTTCAAGATCTACCATAATTTAAACACCAAAAAAAAAAAAGGTATAAAATTATCTAAAAAGCTATAACAAGTTAACAACATCAAAAGGAACCACGCCATACCGGTCTCCGGTGATGTTTCAACCTTCCACTGGATGATTCCTTCAAAACTTCTGCATATTTCACCAATTTCTGAACGTTTCCCGGGTTTTCTTGGAATTGGTTTTCCTGCAGCGAATCACCAACACTTTCCTGGCCCAAAACAACGCTTCTATAAGCACATGACGATCCCATGTCGCTGTTTCTAGAACTACATCCCATTGATGAACTACTCAACCTATTACCTTGTCCATCAGATAAAATACCCAAATTGCTCCCCAAGGAATCATCCGGATGCCCCATCATAACTTCTGCCGATACAATTCTTTCAAGTGTCATTGAACTCTGACTATGACGGTGACTGTCTTTTCCCCGTATTAGTCTTTTCAACCTGCTGAAAATCTGTGGTTTGCTCGAAGTGTAAGCTTTGTTGGTTAATGAATTATCAACTGATGAATCATCAAAGTCACCAGAATCTGTAACATTGGAAGGAGAGGACGACCACTGATCGAAATCAGAGTCTGTGACATTCATTCCCTTTTCTAAACCGCCTTCTTTGTTCGCATATTCGATTATTAAATGCTTGGCTTTCTCTTCCGACTTAGGGCTTAAGGTTTTGCTAAGGTCCCTTGCAACTGTCTTTCCCGGAATAGGCTGATAATTTCTCAGCTCATAACGTAAGCAAGCATTTATCCATCGGAGATACACTAGTTCTTCAACATCAGCACATCGACCTGATTGGAGTTGCTCAATCTCCTTTGATAAATCTTCGTTCTGTTGTCTTAAAGAGTCCCTTTCTCTCCTTAAGTCTTCTGCCTATAGTGAAAGAAATTTAGGAGTCCAAAATAAATCCAAAAATAATGGGATAAGAGAAAAAAGGAAGAGACTAATATCTGTTTGTTTCGGCCGAAAACATTTTCTATAGAATTTTTTTTTTTTTAGAAAATGTTTTCCAAAGCAAACGCTTTCTATGTTTGGTTGCAAAGCGATGTTGAAACTAAAGGGCTGCCAATTGTATTAGTGGTGGTGTTAGCGATGCTAGCGGTGCTGGTGGTGATAAAGGTGGGTGGTTGTGGTGGGGAGGTGGTAGTGGCGGCGGCAGTGGTGGTGGTGGAAGCAATGGTGGTGGGGTGGGGGTGGAAGTAGTGTGATGGCATTGATAAAATTTTAGTTCATAAAATGTTTTCTTAAATTATAAAACATTTTATGCACAAATAAACTTTACGGAAAAATTTTCCATTGACTTTAAACGTTTTCTGCCAGAACAAACATAACGGAATGGACTGGGAATGAACAGACTACCTCTTGATCTTCTAAAACAGAACTTGCAAGCATTTGAGTGTAATCCAACTTGCTGACCAAACCAGAATTTTCAAGCCCCAAACTATGATTAGACTTCCTCAATTCCTCTGCTTCCTCCTCCAAATCCTTCAGTCGTTGCAGTTTCAATTTGATATCCTGATCAATCGCAACAGCCTCGTGTTCCTGATTCATCAGCTTTTTGACTCTTTGTTGAAGGGTCAAAATTTGTTCCTTGTTCTGATCTGATTCAGACTTGAGTTTCTTCTTCAACACCTTTACTTTTGCCCTAGCTGCTTCAAGCTCCGCAATGACTTTTGCATTATCAGCAACTTGGGACTCTAATCTTCTATTATCTGCCTGCAAGGATTCAATCTTGAGACTAAAAAGCTTCGCCTCCACATTGTTTATCTTCAATCGATTTTGAAGCTCCATGACAGCGGTTTCTTGCTCCTTAAGACCATAGTACTCGAGCAATTGGATCTCAAGGATTCTCTCCCGCTCTCGGAGAATTTTGACCATGTTCTTTAGGTTCTTGATCTCTTGCTCATAATCCTCACCTTTGTCAAGTTTAAATGATCTTGGTGTTTCTGCGTCAAAGTGGGGTGTCTGCACCTCTTTTTTGGGAGAAAAATTAGCTTTGGTTGCAGCCAAATCAAATTCCTTCACGAGCTCATTAAACTCTGGCAAGAGGAACCCATCTTTATCTCCACTATATCTACCGCTTACAGAACTATCTAGGGGAACTTTATGAAGACATGAATCTTCCTGCAGGCCAAAAAACAAACAAGGTCATAATCAACTAATTTAGCTTCGTTGTGGAAAAACAATATGATTGGGACCACATCAAAATATAACTTGTCAGTTTGGTTCCCACTAAATCTATTATATGTGACAATTTAATTACGCCAAAATATTTATAAGTAAAGGATTTTAAGCAATGGCACCATTGAAAAAGAAGAAGAAAAGAAAGAAGGAACAGAGAGAATATCCTACAGAAATATTGAACCAGTTTCAGTTTGAACCAGTGTCATGTGACTAAATTATGTTCCTGGGATCTATGATTCTGAGCAACAGCGTTTATTGATTCCAATGCCACACACCATTTTCATTGTGAAGGCAACAAAGAACATTGATCAATGTAATCACCAATCCCCAAATAATTGAATAAGCGACTTACAACACATTGAGGTTAGCGAGACTATTATAAGCTTTAAAGTCGTTCTTTTTCCTATTTTCTCTTTGACCATAAGTGATGGGGATCAAGGAAAAAATAAGTCTAAAGACCTATTGTAGGCACAAAGAAAACTAATTGGTTTACGAAATGGTGCAAGGCAGATTTTCACTTTTGAATGAATTATTATTGATTTGAGAATATGTTTTTAGAAACCCTAGTGTGGAATCTTCTGGTTCTACACCAAGAAGTCTCCTTTTTCTATTTTTGTTCCTTCAACGTCACACAAAGTGGAATAAAACCTCAATTTAGTTTCTTGATTATAATTTTTTGTAGCAGACGCGGAGTAATCATCAATAAAAGCTCAAAATTCCCTATACTCTTTAATTCAATAATATGATCCATAGTCAAGCCGATGGATTTTCCATGGATCAAAATGGCAATCATCACCAAGCAAAGCATGAACACACAAACACATACACCTAAACACGAAAACACAAATCAATTAAGAATTGAAATAACAAAAACAACATAGAGTTGAATTAGAAAGGGTAGTTTACATAATCAATAAATTTCTCTTGAGTAGATCGATGAATAATGGAAAATTAAAAGATAAACAATTTTATCAAAAATGGTAGTTTAAATAATCTTACATGTTTCTCTGGTGCAATTGAATCATTAATCGTCACAGTTTTTTCCTCTGCTACATCAAGTTGATCGCCCCGGTCTAAAATCAAATATACACAATCCATGATTATGATTTTAACAATATAAATAAATAAAAACTCAAAACCCAGATCAAAATTGATACAAATAGGATATTTTATTTTTTATTTTTTATTTTAAAAAAAAAAAAAAAAAAGGCAAACCTGAAGGAGGAGGAGATTGAGGAGGTTTAATTCGTTTGGTTCTGAGTATAGAATATAGAATTCCACCAAGAGAGAGAGCCAAAGCCACACCAAATTTGAACAACACAGGCCTGATATCTCTATTCTCTTTCACCATCCTAATTGAAAAACTCTAATCTAGACACATAGATACAGATATATACACATTTATGAAGATCATGGGTCCTCTTCTTCATCATCTTCCATCTACACGCCCAAATTCAGAAAAAATCAAACGACCCATTTGAGAAAAACATTTATAAGGAAAACCCAATTCAGATTTTGGCGATTTATGACTCACCATCGGAGATAAAGATCGTATATGCATTGAGAAACAGAGCAAATGAGTTTGGATACGATTTGGTGTTGTTGTGGGTCTTTTTGCAAATTCAAGTTTTTGTGACTTTTATGAGATTGGGATTTTGTCTTTCTTTTGAGAGTTTGAGACAGGTGCGTATGAAAACCCATAATTTAATTGAGTAAAGTCTCATGAAGACTGGCCATTGATTTTTTGTCTTAAGTCATGTTGAATGTAATAAGCACATCTATGTATAAAGTAGGTTTTGATGTAGAGAGAGAAAGAGATAGAAACTGTGGCTGGAGAGAGAGAGCGAATCAGACCCTCGATTCCGAGTTGGCAAGTAATTGGCATAATAAAATACAGAAGACGAATATCATTTTGCTTTCTTTGTTTTTAAAATCTGAGAGATTAGCTTGGATTAGTTTGCAAATGCAGGACACCCTCTTTTGGCGCTCCGCCAATCTTATTTTCCCTCCATCTCTTTTGTAAATATTAGATGGGTGCGATGTGATTAACGAGATCAGTTAATAACATTGTGTGTGGTTTAGAGATTTAAAAAATAAAATTAAATAAAAATATATGAAATTAAATAAAATATATTTATATTTATTTATATTTCATCTATTTTTTTCTTTTACTTTTTAAATTCATTTTCAAATCTTTTAATTAAGAGGTTGTTTGGGATGTCTTAAATAAGTGCACTTTTTGACTTTTTATAAAATATGGGTTAGATTTAAAGTGATGTCCTAGAGAGATGATGTGACTTAAATAGGATAGTGACTTTTTAACTTTTTGACTTTTTTTAAAGATGTCAAACCAAGCTTAAACGCAACGTAAGTGTTGATAAAATTGTTATAAATTTTATATACATTTTAATTTCAATATCTTTTCATTTGACTCATAAATTTTATTTATTTATTTTGGGTCTTAATATTTTAATTTTTCTCAATTTGTTCTTAACAGCCTACATGGGGTCCAAAATTACTGCCAAATGTTTATAAAAATTAAGGGTCTACACTTTAATCTATTCAACAAGGATCTGTGTAAATTAGATTAACGTGTTCATTGCTAGTTAGATTCAAATTTTAAAAATGGGATAATGATAGGCAAAATTTAATTCACCCTATTTTCAAAAATTAGCAATCTATACAGAATAATATTTGAATTGGCCACCTGTATAATATCTAGATTGATTTTTTGGCATTTTGAATTTTTAGTTATTTTAGCCTGTGACTAAAAAGTCTCATTTTGGATGAACTTTTTTACTTTTGTGAGAAAAAAAAAAATGAAATAATTATGATTTAAATGTGATGTTTTATCTTATTAACTTTTTAGACTATTTTGTCTTTTATAACTAAAATAGCTAAAAAAAAAATCATACCAAACATAGCCTTTAAATGAAGGAACTGCATTTAAATGCCAACTCTTTTTTTTTTAGAAAATGGTACAGGCTCCAAATTTTCCATTAAATAAACGATCAGATGTCTCACTTGATAGTGAGTTTTATAACATTATTATTATTATTATTATTATTATTATTTGGTTACAAGGAAAAGAATTTTCTTGCAACTTTAATACACTTAATATATAACATATATGGATTGGGTATTTTGATGCAATTTATTTTGGTAATAATTATTTTATTTTGATATTTTATGTCAAAATATTTACTTATAATTTATTAAGACATAAATAATTTAATAAACTCAAATAAATTTATTTTTAAAGTTGCCATAGTTTTTTATTATTTATTATTTATTATAACTCCTAACTTTATATTTTAAAATAAAAAAATAAAAAATAAAAAGAAGTTGTATCAAACTAATACTTGGGCAAATTACAAATAGGTGGGATAGTCATAAAATAATTTTACTAGAGATGATAATTTTTTTTTGTGTAAACGATCGTGCTACGTAGCTCGAATGTCGCGGCTCGAGACGCGGCTCGACACCAAAACGACGTCGTTTTGGTGTCGATTTTGTTTTTTTTTTTTTTTTCCTGGTTTGCAGAACGAAGCAGAAGAAGAAGAAGAGAAGGAAGGAGAAGAAGAGAAGGGAGGAGGAGGAGAAGGAGGGAGGGGAGGGGGCCATAAAAACCGGTTTGAGGAGGAGGGAGGCTGGGCTGCGACGGAGCGAGGCTGCGACGGAGGAGGAAGGCAGGCACGCGATCGGCCGGAGCTGCGACGACGGCGGGGCGGGGCGGGGCTGCGACGACGCCGACCTTCTTCCTCTCCCTCCCTTCTCTTTCTCCTCTCCCTCTCTTTCTCTCCCTCTCCCTCTCCCTCTCCCTCTTGAGCCATTTCGAGCCTGGTAGCTTCGAGCTACCAGGCATTTCCGTTGTGTAAATTACACTCTTCCCTCTTTATGTTTGGCCACTTTTCCACTTTGGCTCTTAAGATTTGTTTTTTCCCACTTTGGCCCTTCATGTTTCAATTTTTTTCTAATTTACTCCTAAAACTAATTTATGTTAAAACTTAGATAGAAAATGAGACATTGACAGTCACGTGGTATAAAAATAATTTATTATATATAACTCACACATTTGACATAAACTTAAATTCTAATATAATAATATATTTTTTATATTATATGATAGTTATTATGATATTTTCTACCTAATTATGAACAAAAGTTTACTTTAAGAGTAAATTGAGAAAAAGGTGAAACATAAAGAGCCAAAATGGAAAAAAAATAAACGTTAAAAGTCAAAGTGAAAAAGTGACCAAATATAACTAGGCAAAGTATAATTTATCCTAATTTTTTGTGCAACTTTGAGATACTGGGAAGACTTGCACAAAACAAAAGAATGAACTTACACTATCCATACAACACAAGAGACTTACATCACTATAAAAATAAAATTATTTTTTTACTATTTAATTGACATGCAACTTCCTTATGTAACATTAGTCATTAATTTATTTAGAGTTAGAATTCTCTCAAATTGGACACCATGTTATCACTTGTCTTTGTGGGTCCATCCATGAGCGTCACCTTGATAATTTTAATTATTTATTTTGTAAATTTTTTTAAACAAATCATTAACACAAAATAATTAAGTTGATCAAACAATTATAACCACAAAATCCATTCATATTTATCTTAACAAAACATAAGTAGCTTATTTTTAAAAGTACATCTATTATTCATTTTTTCTTTTTTGGGTGGGTATTATTCATTTTTTCAAAAACACATCTGATCATTTTGTTACTATTATTCGATGAAATCTTATTATTGCATCAATAATTTGTTTAAAAGATCTTAAAATAGAATCTTCTTAATTCTTTGTTTCATCATTATTATTTTGTACAAAAAAAAAGGGCGGTGATTGAGGGCCCGAAATGGAGAGCCCCGAATGGCTCGAAATTCCATTTCGGGTAAAAAGAAAGAAAAAAAAAAAAGAAAAAAGAAAGAAAAAAAAAAACAGTTTTTAAAATTGGAAATTAGGGGTATTAGGGGCAACTTTTTTAGGACTCTCAATCATTTTCCAAAAAAAAATTGGGTAGGATGATACTTGAGTGAGAGGGAGGGCAGGTGACCTGTCATGCATGAAATATGTGAGCATCCTCGTGCTCTTTTCTACTTTTTGGCAATACGCGCCTTATTATTTTTGGCACACGTGTCCACCTATGCGTCCTTTAATTTCATTTTTTAAAAAAAAAAACATTATTCAACGCGCACGTGGCGTTTGTGCTTCCCTCTCACGCGGTTGACATGCACGTACTATCAAGGACCAGTGATATCACGCCAACTGTCGTTAAAAAGTTGGTACATGCTGCTACAAAATTTAATGGAAAAAATGCAACTATTAAAATTTGAATCAAATGTTTTATTTGGATGTAAGATCCAACACCATGTGGATTTCATATTTATATAAAATATTTTCTAAAAAATTTAATAAATCTTTTAATATTTCTAACATTATTCATATTTAATTTTAAACTAATACTATAAATTCAGATCTAACTATTTAAAAATTATTCAGAATTATCATATTGTCGTTGAGATTTATATTACAAATGAATTTTATATTATACAAATTTAATCACTATCAAACAACTATCTACCCTAAAAAATCTCGGTGGAATAAGTATGATTTAGTTTTTTAAATACAATTTCTGAGATTTTTATTTTATTTTTTTATAATTTTGCATTTTTGTAGATCTTTTTAATGTTTTAATCTTTTTTTTTTACTTTTTAGTGGGAGTAAAATATTTAAAGTTTTTTTTTAAAAAAATTGTAAGTATAAAAATTATAAAAATCCAATATATTTTTGTACATTTTTTCAAAATTGCTCGTAATTAGAACTTACTTAAAATCACTAGAAATTTGTCGAGTTGTTAATTTTAATATGTGTGAACAAACTCAAATATCTATGAACAAAATAAAATAAATTTTTATGCACCATATTAAATTAATTTTAATACTTGTAAACAGACTCAAATATCTATGAAAATAAAAAATAAATTTTTTATGGAACTTATTAAATTAATTTTAATACATGTAAACAGACTCAAATATCTATTGAAAAAAAAATAAAAATAAAAATTTGTATGGACCATATTAAATTTCAAGATAAATACCGACACACATATTAATGCCGCGATAACCATAGTAGGTGGTAAACTGATCTTGATGGTCTAATAAAAACCTACGACTTATAGGTGGTCTACCTAATAAATTTGACAATAACAACATTAATGGACTTCTTACAAAATAAAATATCTCCATTAAAAAATTAGTAATTTTATGGTCCCTTAAGTAGTAGGGAAATACATTCTTAAAAATGTCTATGATATGTATTTTATAATTAAAAAATGATATAATTTTATATTTTTAAAATCTAGACTAAAACAAAAAGAAGAGTCATAACTAAAAACTTTATAAATAATACCTATGGTACACCTCCTTATAAGGAATGTATATAATACAATTTCCCTATAAAAGGTATCCTTAAACGTAAGGGGGGTTTGGTTTATTGGGAGGAAATGTAATCAAATGACTTATCATTAAAGGATTGAATCTTACAAAGGTTAAACATCCCAAATCTTGGGGTCACTGTAGGTTTGATCAACCTAAAAAAACTAATGTAATTGAATTGATTGAGGTTAATTGAAATTTTAGTTTTTGATTTATTTTTTTATAGTATATGATATTTTGAATTTTGAATTTGTTTACACAGTAACAAACTAAATTGATCGAAATATTATATTTAAATACTTTTACATTTATTTTTTTAAACATTAGGAAAAAAGTAACAAATAATTCACGAACTGTAATAATAAAAAGATAGTGAGAGGCATTTATATAACAACTTTTATCCCTTTTTTTATTTTTTTATTGTCAAACTTAAAAAATGTGTAAAAAATTATGTAAATATATA